ATTTTAAAAAAAATCACTGTCTTTTGACATTAAGATGAAGACTGTGATGCATATTTTAATAGATTTAAAAACAGATTAGTAAAGACTTGAAATCTCCAACAAGACCAAATAAAAAATAGCCTCTTGAATTTATTAAAACATATAATCAAAATGACAAATATGAAAAAAAGTAAAGTCTAATGTATAATTTTTTCTTCAGCATGCTGCCACTATTCGATATTTAATATCTAACGAACAGTTAAGAACTACCAATTAGTCTAACCTTTGCTTTTCCCTCTGTTTACTACAGATTATAAACAAAAACAACCAATTTACCCCTTTTTAAGTCTGCAGCAGTTACAGATAAGGTAGTGTCTGTAATTCTGTCAATTTGCCTAACATGAACAAAAAAAAAGATATTCTGGTCTAAAGGATACCAAACTTTAAAAAAGTTTGCAGCTGTGAAACTGTTGTGAGCTTTTGATATTTTCTTTTTTTAATCAAGAGATAAAAACATGTTCACAGCCAACGAATAGAAAAGACAAATATCCCTCCCACAATGCAATACAAACTTCTCTACACAATCCTGCCAGAGAGGAAACATTCCTTTCTTTTAGTTACTACAAAGCATCAGCTTTTCTGCCACCATACTTTACTCCAGTTCCTGAAATCTCAGCCTCATTCCACTGAACTATTTTTTTTTAACAATTACTGTCAGCATTGAGACTTGTGTGATGAGTCATCCAATCACATTTGTTTTCATCCCTGCTTTCCTGTGAACATGATGCTCTGCAAGCAAACCTGCTGGTCAGATAAATCTCCGTTTGCTTCACTTGACAACCTATCTGCATCAGCACAGGCTTTACAAAAAAAGAGCAAATCCAGGCAAAATGAAAGCTGGATGACTGACTGCAGATCAGACATACTAAAGACATACTGAATCCCAAAATGCACCATTAAAATATTTAAAAAAACATTAAAGAATAATTCAGCCTTTGGTAAAATGCAACATACAGCCCAAAGTCATCTTCATCTTCTTTAATAGCAGAAAAGTAAAAGCAATGTTAGATCAAGTGAACTTCATTTAGGCATGACCTCTTTATTTGCAAAATCTGCAGCTCAGTACATACAGTATATGACTCAAGTTTATAAAACATTTTCTTTATCTGCAGCAGTCAGAAATATGCTATAAGACTCTATGTAAGTCTATCCAATCATAAAAACGTAATACCTTATTGAATGTTGTTAAAATGAAGTGGGTTTCCATGAAATGGATAAGGAACGTGTCTCTAAATCGCACTACGTAACAAATGAGAGTATTACCCTGTTCTCGGTTCAGCACATTTAACACCAGATTGGATTTAGACAAGTCATTATTTTTCTTAAAACATGCATCTGCGCCATTTTAGCTGCAGGCAACAGTTTTTCACGGTAATATTAATCTCTCAAAATGATGGAGCTGTAGGTCTGGATAGGTGTAAGAAATGCTGATGGCTTAGGGCCAGAATTGTAGAGCTTTCACTTATTGGTAATCCTGGTAAAAATGAAGAAAAAAACCTTAAACATGTTATTTACTTAAGTTTTGCAATCTCACTGCGATGGACCGGCGACCTGTCCAGGGTGTACCCCACCTCTCGCCCGTAGATAGCTGGAGATAGGCACCAGCTCCCTTCATGGCCCCAGCTGGGATAAGCATGACGGAAAATGAATGAATAAATGTTTAATCTCACATTAAAACATCCATCCTTTAATCTGAGAGAGAAAAAAGGCAATATAAAAACTAAAGCTAAACCACTTCCACGTTTATTGCACCACTGACAGGATCTAATCTCAAGCGTCCCGCCTTAAGGGGTAGAACCTGTTAGTGGTGGTAGTGTGTGTGTGTGTGTTTGTGTGTGTGTGTGTGTGTTTGTGTGTGTGTGTGTGTCGCGGTTGCTAACTTATTTATTCAGAGGCTTTTGTGGCTCCTTTCAAAACTACCACAAGACACACCTCTTTATACTTAAAGTTTAAGTAACCTTCATGCATGTTGATCAAAGAGAAAACTTGTAAAGATCACAAAGTCCAGAATGTTATAATCAGTAAAATATAATGAATAAGTCAAGGCAGATATATTTATACAGCACATTTAGTGCACAAGGCCACTCAATGTGTCTCACAGCAACAGCAACAATACAAACACATTAAAACAAATCAATCAATACAAATATATAAAAATACATATATATTAAAAAAAGTTCAAATAGAATCATTATCAATCGCCATGGGCCACACTAAATGGGCATGTTTTCAACCTGGACTTAAACATAGTCAGGGTTTAGGATGCTTTATGTCCTCACTGAGGTTGTTCCAGACCTTGGATGCATGAAACTGAAACGCAGCCACACCATGTTTAGTGGTGACTCTAGGGACCACCAGGAGACCCCCTCCTTGAGGATCTAAAGGCCTGTGGTGGTTCATACGGCTCTAACATGTCAGAGATATACTTTGGTGCTAAACCATGAGAAGACTTGTACACAAGTAGAGCTGTTTTAGCCAAAGGAAGCCAGTGCAGAGATCGGAACACTGGACTATTATGGACGTTTTTCGGATAAACTGCAGTTAGAGAACCTGTTAACTTGTCTAACTGCAGTTTATCCAAAAGGCTGCAGCTCGAGTTTTCACCAGAACCAGGAAATATGTCCAAGAAATATGACCAGTTCGTTTAAAAAAGGCCATTGAACAAGCCGTTACACTAGTCTAACCTGCTGGAGACAAATATATGGATTATTCTCTTCAAGTCTGGTTTAGACACAGTTTTTTATTTTTGTAATATTTTTTAGATGGTAATAGGCTACAAATCTAATAGACTTAATATGACTTTTAAAATTAAGGTCCATGACTAAGATTTTTAGCAGATTTTTTGGTTCTATGAAAGAGTTTTAAGATAACCAATTACAAGTCTCTAGGTTTTTGTGGTCCAAAGACACCCTAGTTTTATCTGTATTTAACTGGAGGAAGTAGTTTTGCATCCACACACTGATCTGTTTGATAGAATGGCACAGAGTAATTACAGGTCCATGTTTACCCGCCATCAGTGAAACATAGATCTGAGTAGCATCTGCATAATTGTGATAGGATACATTGCTAGTATCCTATCACAGGTTAAATTAGCATGCTTTATATTGACTGCTCTCTAAATGCAAGGTTAAAAAGTCAGGAAGGTAATTGGGACAGGAGAGCAAACCAGAAA